CTAGTGCCGTAATCCAAAAAAGGAAAAAGTATGGTTGCAAAAGTGGTCGCAAAGGTAATTGCAACCACTTTTTATATACCATAAATACATCATCATAATTTACGGCACTAGTCTTTATTTGTCATGTTTAAGAAACACTTTAATTGGTGGTAGTGATGATGGTACAATTAGGGTCTGGAACATCATGACTGGAAAATGCATTTGGTGTTTGAAGCATTTGCAAAAAGTTTGTTCTGTAATATTAGATGATACAAGAAAAAGGTGTATAAGTAAAAGTGCAGATGGTGTGATTAAATTTTGGAACATTGAAGATGGCAATCAACTCCGTACACTTAATTTATCATCTACATGTATTTATAGTAACATTTTATTAAAATACTTTTGTTTTTTTTATATTTGACATAACTGATAAAATACTTTTATATTACTTAAGCACCTCTTCTTTGTTCAAATCCACTTTGGCTTTCAGACGATTATTTAGCTTCTATTACTGCTACCATTGTTATTTATAATCAATCCAAATAATTATAAAAAAAAGCATATGTTTGTTAATCCAGGAAAGTGTGCAGGACGTAAAATAACATGTTTCCAACAAAGCAATAGGTGGTACAAATGAAGCATTACGCATGTGGGATATGAAATCTGGCAAATACATTTGTGATTTATTAACTGGATTAAGTGTATGGTAATGTATTATTTTCTATTTTAATAAAAAAAAATTTTTTTTTGAGTGAAATTAATACTAATCAATCAATCAATTATAGGCAGGTTAAATTTGATAAACAGAGATGCGTTGCAGCTGTACAACGAAATAATTTGGAAACATGGTTTGAAGTCTTTGATTTTAAAGTATTTGGTATAAAAGAAGATGGAAACACATCCAATGCTGCTTGTGCAGATGAAAATGGTAACTGGATTCCTAAAAAGAATAATTGTAGAATAAATTCTATTTGCTATTTGTACTATGATATGATTTTAACACATGATTTGATTTATGGATAAAATATTAATATGTAATTCATCAAATATTAAAAATTTTATTGCTATATTTATACTGTGATAAAGGAAACATTTTTTTAAAATCATGTGATTCAAATTAGTGCTTGTAACAATTAACTTGGCAGTATTTCTATATAAATGAGGTCTTTGGACATCTTTTTTAAAAAATGTTTGATAAACTATTCCAAGTTTTAATAGAAACATTGCATCTAGATACGGGATTATGCTTATTTTGATACCATTTGCATTATCCAAAAGTTTAGAAATTGTTCGCTATCATTCTGCTTTCTTCTATTGTTTTTCTTGCTTTCTTGATAAATTCCATGGATAATCTTCAAGCAATTGAGTATCATTTATTTTGAAAATATAAGGGGCAATTTTCTCATCTTATTCCTTTTTCAAAATACTCCTGATAGTACTATAATTCTTGGGTTCCAATGGTAATATACTAACACTAATACTAACTGTTACTACACTTTTGAAAAAAAAACCTTTGCTTACTAATTTTAGCAAAGATTCTCTTTACATTGTGTTTTTGATTCAAAAGTTTCTGCCGTTTTTGGAACTTTGATCAATTATTTTTTTTGGTGATCTACATAATATTTATCTACATATGCATAGATTGTTTTTCCGATAAAATTTTTTTTAATATTAAATAAAATTTTTTAAACAAATAAATTTACTTTTTTTCATGACGAATAACTGGCTAACAGATCTTGAAGAAGAGGTTTTAACTCCTAACGTTGCTCTCAGGCTACAATACAAACTTATCAAATACATAGCAGAATTTTTAGAATCACAACAAGATCGATACAATTTATGTTTTGTTAATAAGGCATGGACACCAGCAGCTATTAATGTATTATGGTCAGAACCAATTTTCAAAACACCTGATTCTATATACTACTTCCTGCGTGTGGTCAAACAATCAAAACAAAGGGCTTTAAGAATACGTGTTCTCAATCTATGTGCTCCAGAAGGAAATAACGTCAACTCTTTTGCACCAGTTTTATGTTCTGATCATATCGAACACAAGATAATGTCAACATACTTTATATCAAAACCAAATTTATTAACAAATCTTGTTAGATTATGTGAAAATCTACGAAAGATTAAAGTATATGGATGGAATTTATCTGATAATCACATACAATCTTTGCCACAATACTGCCCAGAACTCAAAGAAATCCTGGTGATTGGTAATAATCAATTGACTCATAAGGCCTTTCATTCACTGATGAGCTGTATATCTGATCTTCGTGTATTAGATTTAGATGGCGTTTTTAAACTTTCTGACAATTTTGCAGAAGCATTAGCAATCAAGTGTCCATCACTTTGTTCACTTAAACTTTCAACCAAAGAAATATCCGAAAAAGGATTTGATACATTAGCAACCAAATTAACAAAACTTAATAACCTAATATTACAAAATTGCTCTAACCTTACTGACAATAATATTGAACGTTTTGCAGAAAGAAACCCTAGATTGCAAAATCTTCAATTATTGGGTGATGCGCTCACGATCAGATCATTTAAAGTGGCAATGCATCTAAAAGAATTGATACATTTTGATCTCAGGTGTTTAAAAGAAGTTTTGATTTTATCAAATGAGATAGAATGGTTAAGACCAATCTGTCACAACCTGCGTATAATCATACTTGAAAATTTACCAATTGATGATGACACAATTTCAGCAATCACTGTACACTGTAAAAAATTAGAAAAAATTGCATTTTCAAGATGTCCTTATATTACGAATAATTCAATCAACAGCATTGCAGAAAATGAAACTCGTCTTAATACACTAGATCTACTTGAATGCAGGAACATCACAGATGCATCTCTTAAATGTCTAGGCCGTAAATTAAATCATTCACTTACTCACATAATCATAGACTCGTGTGGCTCATTTGTACCAGAGGCTATACACTGGTTTGTCAAAGTCTCGCCGAAACTTGAAAAAATAGTTTTCAATAGAACACCTTCTATCATCAACTCATTTGTTTACCAGTTTTCCACAGAAAGACAAAAGGGAAGTCACGATTCAGCTGTTTCTCATCAAAAATGCACTATTGAAAATGAAAATATTAATAAACTGGCTCATTTCAATCAGGATTCACCACACCTTCCTTTTTCAAATAATAATTCTATTGATGGAGTCAAGAATTATAATTACAATCAACATGTTATTCAATCAAATCATTCATTAATTCCTAAAAATAATAATAATAAAGCAAATAGTTATGATTATAATCACAATAAACATATTATTCAATCAAATTATTCATTAATTCCTAAAAATAGCAACCATAACCCTAGTAATAAGACAATGAAAATTCCAGAAGATAAACTTGATGCATTATCTTCAGAATTGGGCTTATCCCCAGATGTTGTTAGTAGTGCTCTTAAAAAGATATTCTATAGCGAATTGCAACAACATCAACAGCAGCAGCAGCAGCAGCAAAAACCAATAAAACAAATTACAAATTCTTCATATGCGTCTACAACTAGCACATTAAATAATTGGGGACCTAATACTGAAACTTCAAATTTTAACAATTATTATGAAGGTTATCAGTGTATGTCACCACAATCTATGATTGCCAATGAATTTCAAAATGATTATTTTCAGAATATGTCAAATACAAAGCATTCTTTCAGTGATTCTTCATCAAATGATTCACAATTTCGTCGTGGTTCTTGGACTACAGTGATTAAAAAAACCCATAGCTGTTGGTCGTCCATCAATATAAAATTACCCAGTCTTCATTATCCACATCCAACAACGGCAGGAGCAACAACAAATATAGAAGAATATCAATCTCGTCACAGTTCCCGTGAATCTTCAATGGTACGTTGTCAAGAAAAAGGAGGAGGAGAATCCCCATCAGTGGTCGAGCATTCAATTGCTGAAAATTGTATTAGTAGCGTTAATAACAACGTTGAGAAAATGTCACCTGTAAAACCTCCTCAATTTAAAACAGTTGATCAGATTACCGATGAAACTCAATTATCAACAAAAACATCATTGTCAAATAATCAAGCTAATAGTTGTACTTTAATTAATAACGTGACAAGTAACGACCAACAAAAGTATCAACCACAGTCGCAAATTCAAGACCCACGACAAACTCAGCAAATTCAACAGCCATCACAAAAATTTGTTGGACAATCATCACCTTTAAATATCCAGCAAGAGGAAAAAGTATACAATGAACAAGTTCCATCCATCAAACAAATATCCTATGAACAAGTTGCACAAGCTCGACCAATTGTTATTAATAATTATGATAATAAAATTGGTGGTGATAAACAAGTAACTAATGATAAAAAATCCAAATCTTCAAATGGATACGCATCGTTATGGAATAATCCTCTTGGAAGTGAAGATATAGGTAGTTGGGCAGATTTTGGAGTTCAATCAAACAACATCGAAAATAACGACAACAACAACAACAACAACAATATTCCAGATAAAGATATTCTTTATGTAAATCTTCCAAGCGGACACATGTTATCTACTCAATCTGATTCAATTGATAATGATAACGTCCAATCTAAAAATGAGAGCTCACAAATATTTCTAGAAAGTAGTAATAAGCGGCCTACAAATCAAACAGAAACAGTTAACGGCAACCATAATAACAAGAGTAATCAATTTAATAATTCAACCTATTCAACAAATTTACAAACATACCCTCTTTCTTCACCATATTTGAAAGGAACGATTCCAAATGGTAGCAGCGATGAGAAAAACTTGGAAAATAAATCAAATATTATTTCAAATAATAATTCAGAGTTTACTTCCACAATTACGCATGCGGCTAATTCCAAAACAGAAGAAAAGAATGATAAGACCTATCAAATTGACAACTCACCAGTGGCACCAATATCACAATATACACCACAAATTGTTACGGATTCTATTTATATATCAGAAAGTTATTATAGCAACAGTCAAAGTAATAATGATGATAATAATCAGCCACCTGGTTTCACGAACACGAACCTGACTAATAATGATCAAAGTAATTCGGTTGATCTTGGTGCATGGGGTAGTTTATCAATCGACAAATCATCGACGTGGGAAAGTCAGGTGAAATGGGTGCAAGGTGATGTAAAAAACAAAATAACGGAACCAGAAACAAATCAACTTTGGGGACCTGTCAAGGCTGGTGAATCGACCACCAATAATGTTGAAGAATCAACAACACCTGTTTATTTTGAAAAGAAGCAAGCACGAATCGTTAACAATGAGCTTGATGAGGGATGGGGTTCACCTCCAACACAAACTATTTCATGGAATGATTCTCGTCAAGGAAGTTATATTGAAATGATCGAGGAGCAAAGCAATGCTGTATATTGGACCAAACAAAATGGTGTATGGCTCAATGCTACAGAAGAAGATAAGGTATCATCTCAAAAACCAAAGGAAATTGAATTAAGTGCAGGTGATTCTGATGATATTAGCATAAAGGACAGTGCAAAAATAAGTCGTACAGAACTCCAGGGAATTGAATTATTAAATTCTACATTGAATGAAATACGTGAGACAAGAAAAGAGAGAAGATTCAAAGAAGCAAACTCATTAAAACTTTCAAACAATGATTGTGACAATGGCGATGGGTGTTCAAACATTAACGTAGCATTAAATCATGATAATGATAATTGTGAAGATTATTCGGCGTCAGCCGGGCCAGAAGAGCATTATGCTCTTTCAGCACCGGTGTCTCAAGAACATGATGATTATGTTAAATCTAAAAATGGGAGTGATACTTTTGTTAAAACTGGTGAGATATCTATTTTAAGTGACGATTGGAATCTCGATAATAAACTTAAAAAAAAAACAGAAAACGAAAACGATGAAAAACAGGTTGTTCAAGTGACAGAAGACAATATTTTAATAGATCTTTTTGATTCAAGTAAATCGAGCAATAGTAGTGGCAAAAATAATGAAAACAATAATAATAATAATAATAATAACAATAGCAATAAATTTAGATCAATTAATATGGACATTTCTGATTTATTTAGTTCGATCAAACCCCCATCATCATTGCTACCGACAAAAGATAAAAACAACAACAACAATAACAATAACAATGGAAACAAGGAAAGTATTCTGTCGATAGTTGAACGAGAAATCTTTACGACAGGTCAAAATAATAACAATGGTAATACTAGTAACGGTAGTGATGATGGTGGTTTGTTATTATTAAAACATAAAAATAAAGAGAATTCATCATTAATTATACTTGAAGAGAATGCTCGAGATCGAAAGGTTATTTCATTATCGGAAACCAATGTTTCCCACCAAAATAATATTGATAACATTTTAACAAATTCCAATCTAGAAACATCATCGTTAGAATTAAATAATAATAATAATAATAATAATAATAATAATAATAAGGATATTGAAAAAGTAGTGATTGAAAATTATAGTAACAATGTAGTAAATCATCAAACAAGCACGGGAGAAGCTTTACTTTTTAAAACAGAAACGACAACAGTATTATCATCAAGTAATGAAGATGAAGTGATAGAAAGTTCAAGCATGGATAAAAGACAAGAAGAAGAAGATGATGATGATGATGAAGTGATAGCAGTTGAAATCGCAGAGAAAGGTCCATCACCAAATGAGCAATTAAGGATGGACGACGTAGAATTGGAGAGTAAACGGCCTAATAACCTTAAACATATTAAGTTAAACATTGAAACACCAGATCACGGAATGCAAGTTTGTTATATCAAAAAAGTACGCGAAGGAATAGTTTAATTATTTAAATAATTATCTTTGTTACTAATTAATTTGTTAAATTAGGATGACGATGTAAATAGAATTGCTAGTGAATTTTGTAATAAATGGAATATGAATGGATTTGATAGTGCATTAGTAAATCTTTATAAAGTAGAAATACAACGAAAATCTACACGAAAAAAAAAGCAATTTTTAAGGCCAAAAAATTAAATAATCTTATTTCATTAGTGGTTGCTATATTTATTTATTATTTAATATTATTTTTGTAAATAATTATTGTAATAAATTTTTTTTTTTGCATAAAAAAGTTAATTACCGATAGAATAATCTAAAATAATAATAAAATAAAATCGTACATTTTTACATTTTTAATATTTTCCGATTTATTATTATTATTATTTTATAAACTTATAATAAATCCATAATAATAAATGATAATTCATAAGAAATATAAAAAATAGACATTTTTTCCTTATGGCCTTAATGAGAAAAATATAATTTTTACCCTTAAAAACATAAGCATAAATAAATTAATGAATTTAAAAAGGGAAGAATATACATGTACAAAAATTATACAAGTATACATAAAAAAAGGAAGAAAAAAAAAACATATAAAATCTTGGTATATATAATATATCTTGAGTATTTACATATATAACATAGATGGCTCATTCATTTTTAAAAAATCGGGGAAAAAATATATATATTTATATTTCAAGATTGAACAATCCTTTTAATTTTCCCGCCATCAACAATCCTTTTAATTTTCCCGCAATCTTCTAAATGATGTCCACGATATTTAATCATCCATCCTTCTTCTCTTTCAGTAACAGTTTTATTAACAGGACAACCTTTATTGCTATTAGAACATTTATAATAAACACTTTTATTTCCTGTTTTTCGTTGAGTTGTATTTCCGTTATTTTTCCATAAATAGGCATCTATATAAGGATTATCTTTAGTTTCAATTATCATTGTAACAGGAAGCATTTCACGGCGCTTGCGTTTTCTTTTGCTCGGAGTACCATTCAAACCACAATCTTCTGCATCGTCATTATTATTGTCGTTGTTGTTGTTATTCTGATTGTGAGTGTTCGAATTCAAGTCATTTGTTAATTGTTCTTGCGATGTCGACTCATTCTTTGACGATAGTTTGATACGAGCTATACATTTTGCGTGATTATACGAAGATGAAATTGCGTTGTTATCGATAGAAATACTTTGTATTGACGAAGCAAGATTATTGTTAAATAACGCGTAAGTCGACGATGGTCCATCAGGTGTCAGATAACTGATTAAAAGACGGATGATTGATACGTGTATTATTAGTAAAGAAACCATTTAAAAGGGCGATGAAATTTTATTTTATAAACAGTGACGACGAAAATTTTTTTAATTAAAACTTACGTTCCCAAAGAATTACCATGAATGTCTAAAAAATTAAAATAATAATTCAAGCAATAAATAAAATAAAAAAATAAAAAAATATATATATATATATAATTTTAAATGATGATTTGTACAACATTGAAAGAAGAAAAAAAACCAAATTTTTTTTTAAAAAAACAAAAATTTAAAAAAAAAAAACTACAACTAATTATTATATAATTAATAATTTTACCATAATCAAATTCGTTATTAAGAATTAGTTGTTCTTCATGATTATTATTAATATTATTGGACACATCCATACCTTCAACGTGTTCCGCGAATCTTCTTTGTCTATAACGATCCAGTAGCATCAAGTCAATTTCCCGAACACGTAATTTAGCTTCTTCTGCTCTACGCTTATCCTCTTCGACTTTTGAAGTCAAAATAATTTTTAATAGATCAGGTTGCGTTCCGAATTGTGACAATATTTCTTGCAAATCGAAATTATTTGTCAAAACGGTTTGATTATTATTTGAGGATAAACTTGCAGGAATATTTGGAGGAGTGGCCAAAGATATGGGCGAAGCTAACGATGTAACATTATTTGTTCCGGTGGTGGTCGTGGTTGGATTTTGGACGCATTGCGTTGAAGTCAAAGGAGAGATTGGACTATCTAAAGATGGAGCCATTATCGAAGATTGTTGTTGATTTGATGCGTATTGTCTGTTATTATGATCAGGATTTTGTAAAGTGATTGAAGTTGGTTGTTGTTGTGATTGTTGTTGTTGTTGTTGCGATTGTGGTGATTGTGGTTTATAGCGATTGTTTTGCGTGTCAGAATTTGGAGTCGAAGGGGCAATAGAGGAATTCTGCGAAGTTGTGAAATGGGTATTTTGAGATCTAGCAGTTTGAGGAATCAAATTTTCATGAGAAGAGGTCGTAAACTGATAAGGATGGTGGTTTAGATTCGTTTTTGCATAAGAGTATGAATTGAAAACATCAGTGTTAGTCATATTGTGAAATATACCTCAAGGCTCAAAAAATGTATTTTTTTGTTTTGCTTTTTAGAGTGACTATTTGTACTAAATTTTTTAAATTGACTGTATACAACTATAATACAATTTATTTACAAAAGGTATTTTTTTTTTTTTTAACAAACTTTGAATTTTTTGGTAATGCAATTTCCCCGAATGAGTTAATAAATAAATTGCAATTTAGTACAAAAAAAAATTTTTTTTTTCAAATTTTATTTATTCTTTGTAGGAAGGAAGTAAATAGTATGCATATATATATATATATATAAAACGCGCGGTAAATAAATAAATTTTCCGTAATATATCTTTAAAAAGACTTGATAGCAAACAACAGTTAATTAATCGTATATATGCACACATATATAAAGTAACATATGAAATCTATAAAATATTAGCGAAAAAATCAAAGAATTGTGGAAAACACCCAATCAAAAATTTAAAAAAGGGGGTGTGATGAAAAGGAGGTAACGCCTAACTCATGCGCAATTTTAATACAAAGAAAGGAAAATAGTATTAAGTAATAACACATGCCCTTACCATTAAATTTCACCAATTAATCATGAGAAAATATCACTAATTAATCCGTCGACAACTAAAATAATAAAATGCACCTGCTTTCCTACATTACATTTGCATTGAAACATAATAATAAGTTGTAATAATGATGGTGGTGACAATTTGATCGTTTTTATTCTACAATTTATTACTTCGATCGATCAATGTCTTTATTGGAAAATTATTCAGATAAAAATATTTGATCAACAACTAATTATATAAATATGTATAATAAATAATATATTATTAATTGCTGTTGTAAAAATTTGTCTTGATTGTAAAAAAACATAACGAAAGAAGCTACAATTGGCCCGTACATAACAATAGTGAAACATTGGGAAAAGTCCCCATCCAACCTTATTTAATCCAATTTTAGTTTATCAACAATGTTTGCTTCACACTTTTTAGGAACAATGAATATTTCTATAAATAGTTAAATTCCTTTTTATAAATATATATTACGGGAATGAATGCTTTTAATTCTTTTTAATCCGAGTAATTTAATAATGCATGTAATAAATGGTCAAGTAAATATAGATAATAAAAAAGATTTCCAAGGATAAAAATAAAAAATTCTAAATTTATCATAATTATAAATTGCATCAACTTTGCTCCCTCAGGATATTATTATCTCTTCAGTCAAGGAGTATTTTTATGTGTGTGCGTATGTGTATGTGCATGGTATATTATTATTCACTTGGCTTGGTTATCTTAACTTGATTTATGACAAAATAAATCTCTGTTGCTTTGTTTTCGATCGATCGATCGATTAATATAATGTTGATGGTAGATCCAAATTTATTCGGTCGGTGATTTTATTATAATAATAATAAATCTCAAACAATATATACACTTCCTATGTGAGTAAATAAATAAATTAATAAATTAATGAATGAATGAATGAATGAATGAATGAAAATGAAATAAACAAATAAAGATTAAATTTATTCGCCGAATTATATTGTTTTTAAATATTATACGAATGAAACATATGACATTTGATTTATTTAGATTAGAGTTCTAATAATGATTTTTAGCAGCTACCGTCGTACTACCACCATATAACACACCATATGAGATCATCATATGAAAATTCTCTGTATAGGGCTGTTTCAATAGAAAGGGCCAAATGTCAAAATCATGATTTGAGAAGAATATGATCAGGGTTATGCTTTGTCCACGCATAGTACCACACAGTGTGAATTTCGGTTTAGCGGACCTCGATTTAGCGGATACTAATTAAAAAAATCTCGGTTTAACGGATGACAGTTCCCGTAATAAAAACATTCTCGGTATGACGGATTTTTTTAAAAGTAATTTTCCCTAATTGTCAAAACTATCTGTTAAACCGAGATTCACTGTGTCACATTGACGAATTGTGACAAATTGAAATTTGAAATGGTGTTGTTCCCAGATTTTGGAATGCCTTTGTAATAAAGTAACTACTTGGAATTGTGATAATTTAAAAAATTTTAAAATCTTTTGTCAAAAAAAAAAACAAAATTATCATCGACAGTTAAAACCTTATCATAAAGGAGAAAATCGAGATAATAAAATAATGCTTTAAAAAACCAAAAATTAGGTTTATTAATTGCTTTTCTTTTTTTTTTTTTTTTGTGTATTCAATTTAATGATGAAAATAAGTACTTGCTAGTCGTTTTATGACTTTAGTATTAGTTTTATTAATAATGGTGATATATAGTGGTGATGATATAAAGAGGCTAGGTCACCTGTTTGAGATACGATTGGCCGACACTTCAATATATTCGTATTATTTAATTGTTAATCTTTTTCTTTTTTAAAAAAAAAATAATAAAAGAATTCTTTTTCAATAAAACACTTTTATGGTCGGAAATTAAACAGTTATTTGAATTTGGTCGTAAATGTAAAACATTCGGTATTGACCGAAAAGCTATATATCTTGATGATGGTATGAGAAATATTCCTATATATAATTAAATAAATGATGAATAAGCAACTATTTTTAAATAGATTATACATGTATGTTATTTATATATTTTTTCAGGGAAAAAATTTTTAAACCACAAAGTGGGTCAACTCTAACACATTGAAACCAAAAATGGGTCAATTCTTGACCAAAAATAGGTCAATAAGCTGTACATGTGCATCTTTATAAAATATCAATTTTTTTAATTAGTATAAAAAAAAAAAAACTAATTAATAAATTTCTAAAACCTACCAAATTTTGAAAGCACTAACCATTATGATAATCATATTATAACAATTATGATAACGATAACAATGGTGATAACGATAACGATAATGATAATGGTGAATTGGGCAAGTTGGTGAAATTCTGATAATTATCTACCATAAAAAAAAATAAAACAATTTTATCTTTCAACTTTGCCAAATTTTCTCATCTTTATTTTGTGTGTGGCTTTCCAAAATTAGTTCATTAAAATCATGGTCCCACCCAGTATTATCATTACTTGGGTGATGCAATTCATCAATTTATTTGTTTATACAAATAAATGTTTCGCATAATCATCATGAATATTGTAATAGACGTACACAACAGTGATGGACAAAGGCATTCATGCTCAACGAAAGGATTAAAAAGATAAAAAATGCATGATTGTTTATATACAGAAGCAAAACACAACAATTACATGGTAGGAAAATACTCGGATTCAAAGCCATTGATTAGTATTACATATTCTTTTGTCATTCTGGTCAATATAGACTATTTTATCATTATTAATATTACTATTACTTTTTTTCTTTCTTTATTATCGCCATTTTCTTCTTTTTGCATCTCTCTTTTCTTTTCCTTATCAATAATTCGCGGATTGTTTCTATTGTTTTCCTTCTAGGATTCATCTTTTGTAAAAAAATTTTCAATTTTTCTATCAAATAATTATTTGAAATCCTTTTGTACATTTTCAGTTCTTCCGAATAATTATAATTGAGGTCATAGGTACCATGTTTTTGACATTGAAATTTTTTGAATCATACTGAGCGCATTATTGGTAAAGTTGATATCTCCGAATTCCATAATAAAAAATGGTTCTTTTAAAGAGAAAACCCTTTTTGACGTCAGAATTCCATGGCACTGATGATTAGAACTCATGTGAATACTGTGTGTAACGAGCACAGATAAAAATCTGATCATTGGTTATTATTGTATCACAAAAATCAAATGAAATTAACCAATGAAAAATCATACATGTGACATTTCAACTTATTTTTATGTTTTTTAATTTAATTTAACACAAGTAAGAAACGAAACATTTGCCGTGTAACGACCACCTTCCAAAATCAGTAAGGCGAGTGGCTTTCGTGCAGGTTTCTCGCCAATTGTCTCTTTTTGCAATGCTTTGCAAGGTGAGGAGAGGCATTATCAATGAACCAGCAAAATTCTATGTTTTTAAACCTAATTTTTTGAGAAGAAATTTTTTTCTTTGATGATCAATGAATGTGAATACCCCTTTTTCCACATGATAAACATTTAACATTTATCGTGCAATAGTAATAAATATCTTTTTTTCCAACCGAAGAGAACTGTTTGGTAAGAATAAAAAAATTTTGTTTATTTTATATTTAAGAGCTATTTAATGTCAATAATTGAATTCATTATTGTTTTTTGTTATAACATACAGTTCACTCTCTCTATAACGGCCCGCCTGATTTGGCAAAAAAAGCCGTTATAGAGAGTTTGCAGATCATAGTCATGTGATAAATTATAATGTGATACAATATATATTTAAAAAATAAATGAAACTAAACTACTTATAATTTGCACACTTATTCAATTAAAATCATCCTCATTTGATTCTGATTGTTGGTCAAGTAAAATATGGTCTTATATAGTTTTGAAATGTTTATGAAGTCCATAAGGAAGTTGGCATTTCTTATGTCATGTTTACAAATAATTATTACAGCAAAACTTGTGAATTAACATTAAAGTCATAGTCATAGAGTAAGTCATAATGACATTCTTCTTTTTTATGATCCTTCAAATACGAATAATATATTGTAACTGCAAAGGATGATGATAGATATGAAGTAATGTTGACAAATGTATCTATGTTTACAATAATAAATGTAAGCGCGTTCGAATTAATAATTGAGTGTGATACTGGATACTGAATTCTTAATTTGGTAATAAATTACCCCAGATCATGATCGTCGGCCGTTATAAAACATGAGAGAATTTTTAGAGGCAGGCCGTTATACACTATAAGGTTTTTATATAGTAAAATTTGGATTCTGATTCCCAATGCGTTATATAATGGAGGCTGTTATAGAAAGGGCCGTTATAGAGAGTGTGAACTGTATATTCTGTACCACCAATTATCCTGCGAAAATTTTCAACACTCAATTAACCGGATTATTGGTGAAATTTGTTTGTTCAATAAAAATTGGAACAATAAATAGCACAACACTGATGTTAACTTTCCTCATATAAAATTCATTATAATTGTAATGTGCAACATCTAATATAACAAGATCCATTATAACAAGGTTTGACTGGTAGTTGTCATATAAACTTGAACTCCATTATTGAAGTAAAGTGAAACTATATCATTAAAGCTTTCTAATTAATATTTTTTTATGCTGAAAGGAGCTTTCCAAGTAAAATATCACAGCTATTCAAAATGTGAATACACTTTCACCTCAAAGCTTTCAATTTTACTTTCAATATCCTAAAAGCTGGGGGTTGTTTGATAATAAATTTCAGGTTATTTTCCATTTTATTAATAAACACTTCAATTTTTTTTAAAAAGTACAAAAATATATTATGAAGAATCTATGTCTCAAATTTGGTGGAATAATTGCACAAAATCATGGATGACTTGGCTTTGACTTGGCTTAGATAAATTTTGAATATATACTTTGAATTTATTTAAACCATATCTGAGCTCTCGGATTTCTCAAAATACCATGTTATTTTAGCTGCTTTACAAGCCCACTAAAAATAATCAATAGTTTAAATTATAAAGTTATCAGAAAATGCAACAATTTTTTCCTTTGTCACTTTTGACCTGTGATAGTTTATTAACCTGTCATTCATTAATCTTATTAATAAAAGTATAAAGAAAGGATTTTTAGTTTTCTAAAACAAAAAAAAAAAACCAATACTCACATATTTGAAAACTTGTTGTATTTATATTTTCCCTTTCCCCTTGAGATTTTCATTATAATAAAATTTTGTCATTACAGACAGAAATCAATTGTTTTTTAAACAGAAAAATTGAACTAAATTGTCATCAGAAAATTCCTTCATATCTAATATTTTGATAATAAAATAGGATCATTTTTCATCGTGTCCATATTATTTTTTTGTATGTCTAAAATTAGACACCCCGATTTCCAACGATAATCTAAAATAATGACCCCAAAAAAAATTTTATAAAAATAAATAAATTACAAAAAATAAATAAATTACAATTCAAAAAATAATAATGGGTAGAAATCTAACCGATATTAATAATAAAAATAACAATGCTGATACTAGCAGCAGTAGTTCAAGCGATGAGTCATCTGAAAATGACATTGATTCAAAAATAAAAAAGTCAGGCTATAAAAAAAGAATAGCGAAAGAGTCTAGCAGCAGTGATGAAGAAAGTTCAAGCGATGATGAATCTTCTGATTCTGATTCAAAAAAAAAATTTTCAGGTAAGAAAAGAATTGGCGGAAATAATGAATCTACTACCAGTAGTGACGAAGAAAGTTCATCAGAAAGTGATTCCGACTCTGATTCAGAAACAAAAAAAAAAGTTGCTATCAGTAGTGACGAAGAAAATTCATCAGAAAGTGGTTCCGACTCTGATTCAAAAATAAAAAAAGAAGTTAATAGCAGTAATGACGAAGAAAGCTCATTAGAAAGTGGTTCTGACTCTGATTCAAAAATAAAAAAAGAAGTTAGTAGCAATAGTGACGATGAAAGTTTGGACGATGATACATCAGAAAGTGATTCTGATTCGATAAAAGAATTACCTACTAAAATAACTGGTGTAACTAAAGTCATAACAAAGGAACCTAACAGTAGTAGTGATGAAGAAAGTTCAAGTGATGATTCGTCAGAAAATGATTCTGATTCAAAAATAAGAGCCGATAAAGGAGCTAAAACCACAGCAAAAGAATCCAGTAGCGGTAGCGACGAGGAAAGTTCGGATAATGATTCATCAGAAAGTGATTCTGATTCTGATTCAAAAATCAAAAAATCAGTTGACAAAAAAATTGATGGAACTAAAATTACAAAAAAAGAATCCAGTAGCGGTAGTGACGAGGAAAGTTCGGATAATGATTCATCAGAAAGTGATTCTGATTCTGGTTCAAAAATCAAAAAATCAGCCGACAAAAAATTTGATGGAACTAAAATTACAAAAAAAGAATCCAGTAGCGGTAGTGACGAGGAAAGTTCGGATAATGATTCATCAGAAAGTGATTCTCATTCTGATTCAAAAATCAAAAAATCAGCTGATAAAAAAATTGGTGGAACTAAAATTACAAAAGAAGAATCCAATAGCAATAGTGACGAAGAAAGTTCAGATGATGATTCATCAGAAAGCGATTCTGATACAAAAATATCAACTACTACTGCAAATAATAAAAAGAGGACAAAAGAATCTTCTAGTAGTAATAGCAGTAGCGAAGAAAGTAGCGATGAGGAAAGTTCGGATGAAGGTGATTCTGATACAAAAGCTAAAAAGCCTGTTAATGCTAATAAAGGAAATGGAACAATAAATACGAAGAGAATAAAAGTTTCTTCTGGTAATGATAAGAAGAGGATTAAAAAAGAATCTGATTCGGGCGATTCTTCAGAAAGTGAATCCGATTCTTCGGAAGATTCTGCTTCTGATAAAATTAAAAAATCAAGTAGTGAAGATGACGATGATGATGACGACGACGACGATGATGGCGATGAAAGTGAAAAAGAAACCATATTAGTGAAAAAAATCGAACCTTCAAATATTAAATTAACACCTCAGGCCATTAAACGGAGAATAAACGATGACTTCACTAATTCAATTAAGAAGCCAAAAGTTGAATCAGAATGTAAAACAGTATATGTTGGAAATTTACCATCTAGTATTGACGAGGAAACATTACGTAAGAAAATGCAAGAGGCTGGTAAAGTTATAGATGCTCGAATAATATATGACAAATTCTCAAACGAACCAAAAGGGTAATCGAATCTCTTGGTTGTTGTTTTTTTTAAAAAATTATTTTAATACATTATTATTTATTTTATTTCCGTTTTAATACTTTTGCTATTGTAGATATGCCTATGTTGACTATGCTACTGCTGAAGACACTCAAAATGCCTTAAAATTATCAGGAAAGGATATCAACGGGAGAGCAATATCTGTTTGTCTTGATCAAAAAACCAACAACAACAACAACAACAACAACAACAACAACAACAACAACAACAACAACAACAACAACAACAAATATAATAATTTTTCTGATCAGAAGCCGGGTGGCTCAACCTTTAACAATAGAAATAATGAACCTAGCGATACAATTTTTATTGGAAATTTACCTTTTAATGCTAATGAAAATCAAATTGATCAAATTTTCAAAGGATGTGGCAAAATAGTTTCAATTAGGCTACCAACAGATCCAGTTACAGGCGTTCTTAAAGGGTATATAACACATATACATATTAATATTGTCATTGTTGTTATTATCATCATTGTCATAATCTTCCATTACAACATCTATATATTAAAAAAACCAATTCTACATCTAGATTTGGATATGTTCAATTTGATGATATCGATTCGGCAAAAAAGGCCTTGGATTTTCAAGGCAAAGAGGTAGCAGGACGTTCCATAAGACTTGATTATGCTGGAACCAAACGTGAGTGTTAATTACATTGCGATCATTATTTTTGGGGTCATTTTTACTTTCTATCTATTTATGACTATTATCCTAATTTAGGTAATGCTGATCGTAATGGTGGTAAATTTAACGACAGAGGAGGTTTTAGAGGAAATGATAGAGGAGGTTTTAGAGGAAATGATAGAGGAGGTTTTAGGGGAAATGATAGAGGAGGTTTTAGGGGAAATGATAGAGGAGGTTTTAGAGGAAATGATAGAGGAGGTTTTAGAGGAAATGATAGAGGAGGTTTTAGAGGAAATGGTAGAGGAAATTTTAGAGGAAATGGTAGAAGTTACGGTGGTGATGGTGGTGGTGATTATAATAATAATAGGGGCTCTTTTGCGGTTGCTGCTGCAAATCGAGGAGCAATAGTTCCTGGACAGGGTAATAAAAAAACTACGTTTGACGACTAATTGTATAGTAATAACATTATTGTTCTTTTTGTGATTGATTTGTGCATCATAATTTGTAATTATATTGTTATTTCCAAAATGTTTATTTAAAGAGAAATATTTTTTTTTGATAATAATAAATAAAATTTACAAAACAAATCTGTTCAAAAAAATTATTGCATTTCTCAAATTTTTCTCAAAGCATACATAAATCATTTTCTTGTATTATTATTATTATAATAATAATAATAACTTTGATTTAGATCCTTTGCTGTTTTTAATAATTCTCTACCAGAAGCGTCATTCACACCATCATCACTCAAATCACTATCATCGTCTTTCATGGCCAAGTTGATTCCACTCGACCAAATATTTCTTAAAGGCTTTTCTAAACATTCATCATCATCAGTCTTTACTTCTTGAATATGTTTAACAAAATAACACAATAAATTTATATCCTTTATTAATTGTTCATCAACAATGCTTGTTTTCGTTTTTGTATTCGTTATTGTTGTTGTTGATTTGAGGTTTGTTATACGTAACAAATTTTGAAATTCATTAAAACCGATGACAATATTATCATCATCATCATCATTTATTGAGGATTTTGATAAAAGCGAACGTACTGACCAAGTTGGTGTTTTTGGCTTTTTCAAATTGATGACAAAATTTTTTTCTTGGTTAATGTACCACTAGTAAAAAAGAAAATAAACAAAAATTTTACAAATTACCAAAAAATCATCATCTAATTCGTGATTATTATTATCACTCTTAATGTTCTTAATGCTGTAATGAGTTGATCTTGTAAATTTATTACGACGATAATTTATTCGAAATATTCCATGCAAATTTTTAAACATTGTTATTATTACAGTATTAGAGAATTTTTGTAACACGTTTAATGATAATATTTTTTTAAGCATATTCTTCATGAATGTCTCTTCCTTTAGTTTGATTTTTTCCATTACTTACTCTTCCAAGTCGCAAGATAACCCTTGAGATGAAGTATTAGTTTCCAAATTTACTTATACATTCACTTATTATTTCATTTATTTCTATTGGTACTTTTTTATTTAGTTCGTAAACATTTGTGCAAGCAGGATGTGGACGATATCATATTTGTCTTGGCGTTTGTTGTTTGACTACTTCTGTATATATATGTTAATTTATTATTATTTAAAAATCAGTTGATTGGAGTTTCTTATGAAATGGGTTGGGCTATTATCTTGACAAAGCTTCACCTCAATGGTGTCAATCGTATCATAGAGAATTGTTCCTACAATATGGAGAATTGACTGGTTTTTCTAAAGTGGAGGGAGTCATTTCAGTAATTCATCATGAGGTTCTTATGAAAGAATCAGGCCATTAAATTAACAAATAATTACCTTGATGGCGTTAATCGGATCACAGGGGATCGTTCTTATAAACTATCGGCTAGTTTTTTGGCAGGCTTCAAATTCACAAAAACGCATCTAGCCTACCCAATGTAAAATGGAAAATGAAATACGAGGTTTTGATATTTTTCGCGTTTACTATATTTCCATTTTTTTGAAAAACAGCTTGCAAAATGACAACTTCTAAGCAAGGAACTCAATGACAGCCCTATTGCATTTGTGAAGCGAAGGTGTACGCGACGCCAAAGAAATACATAGATGAACGAAAATACCCCTCTCCACTATATATGATAGCCAAGCTCAAAAAATTCGGGAGCAATACAGCATGCAGGTGACAATGGTCGGTCGAGGAGCAGTGTTGGGGCAATATATTTGCAAGGATTTTTCTATTTCAACAAGAACTTTGGCAACAAATTTGTCAAATACGGGAGTAGAGGTATCCTATAGAACGATTGGAAGACATTTCGCTGATATTGAATACTTCCAAAACTTCCAAAACGATACTGCTGATCGCAAACAAAAACGGATGGAATATGATAGGAAGGGATATTCCCAAATCTACCCTATATAATAAATCAGCTGACCTTCAAATGATTCCATAGTATTCAGGGCATGAATGAGATTTAACTAGACCCCTGTTGAATTCTGCAGACGCTTTTAAATAATGGCGCAGTATATTCATTTCTTTTCAAAATAAATTAAAAAAACAATTTTAATTTTAAATATTAATAAAATTACCAAATGAACAGAAGTAATTTCAGGGTGAGCTTTTATTTTTTAATCCTCAATTTCACGAACAAATAAAGGATCGAAAGAAAATTTAAACTTTGAAATTGTTTAAAGGCTAGTAATAGTTGTAGCTATTAAATTTATACAAGTTTATGTTTACGCATTGTTAATGTTATAAGATTCTTTAGATGGTAAAAACAGCAATGTTTGATTTTACTAGGAAATGGTGGTTGTTTTTTATTATTCCAAGTTATACATTCTCATAAAATTACATAGTAAAGATTTCTTCAATATCTTATAGGCCTACGTAGAAAGTTGAATTTCGTTATGAAATATTTATTCTGATCTTTAATATAATAATATTTATATATTCTAAAACAGGAAAAAAGAAGTAATAATTTTATTAATGAAATATTATTATTCTCTTCTTTTCTAATACAGAATTCTGGTTCCATAGTTAATAACTCTTTCAATAGCAGCAGTAGTAATGATTTTTGTCCCAGTATATCGACACCACGTTCACAACATAATGAAGTAGAAATAATTGATTTAACTTCTCCTTCACCACCATCAACACCAATTTTTACACCATCTTCAAAATATTATATACCAGCATCACCTTCACACATACCATCATTTTCACCAACTAATATACCAACACCAACACCAACATTTACTCCACCATCGCCAACTTTCTTGCCAGTGCAATCATCATCATCGTCGTCGTCGTCGTCGTCGTCGTCATCATCATCATTCATGCCAACACCAGCAACTATACCACCATCATTATCACCAACATGTTCCTCCTCATATTCCTCTACTGACGATATTCCTCTTTATGATTTTCGTCATCACCATGAACATGAACATGAGCATGAACACGAACATGAACATGAGATTGTTAATATAGAAAATATAGAATGTATCGATGATCGTGGTGATGTTAATGTTTTGGACGACGCTGATAATTGTTTTGATATTGAAATATATGATTCAGAAAATATTATTAATTATGCTGAAGTTGATGTTGGTGAGATTGACACTACGGACTATAATGAAGGTTCTACTGATGCGATTAATACGTTAGAAGGCAATTTAGAAGTGTTTGAGTTTGATTTCAGAGTAGAAGATAATGAAGATTATCAAAATGTTACAATTGATGTTACAGATTTGGTTGATACTTTTGATGAGTTCGAAGGGATTAATGTTTCACAGATTGATGATGATAATGCCTTACGAAATAGTAATGACCATGATAATGGTGATGAAATATATATTTCGCAGGTTAACGATTATGATTATTCAGAGATCAATGTTATAGAAAATAATAATAATTATGAAGTTGTTGATGGAATTCATAGAATTGATGAGATTGATTTTTCAGAAGATATTATTGATCATGACAATAATAATTTTAATATTATAGAAGATCTTGATGACGATAGTCGTTATTCTAGTAGACCTATTGTCATTGACGATGATAACGATGATAATAATAATAATTTTATAGATATAACAACTCCCATAATATCACGTGAATCATCGCCATTATTGCACGCAACAACTCCATCACCATCAAGATATTATCATTCAACCTATCCAATACAATTACAACAGTCTAAACCACAACCAGATATCATAATTATTGACGACGACGATAATGTGAATACACTGTTTGATAATACAAATGCACGAATCTCAACATCATATTATCCCCCTTTATCATCTTCACCTTCGCCTGTTAATGCGGGTGCTGCTGCGAGTGATGCAGAATCGTTAGAAATTAAATGTACAATCTGTTTAGATTATCCCAAAGATGTTTCAGCAACTATTTGTGGCCACATCTTCTGTTATCAATGTATAAATACAGCAGTTAGAACTCAAAGAATGTGTTCTATATGCCGTAAACCACTTACTATTCGACAGATTAAAAGGCTTGAATTCAAGACATTATAATCATAATAATGATAATAAGGTGATTATTTAATCGGTAGTGATAGTGGTTAAAGATATTTTCTTTCTTTTGTTATTTAGGAAAAGAAATTATTTAATGATTAATAAATGAGTCAGTTTATTAATATTTTTTATGGTATGAGAAAATAATTCTTTCCATAATAAGTACTATATGTAAAACACATCTCCCTTTCATTCATTCTAATTTCGTTTTATTAAATTCTAATGTTAATTCTGTTTTATTATATAAATTAATGAGTTAATTAAGATTTTCCAAGTTCAAAATGCTGTTATCAATTGAAATTGAGGAGGCATTTCAAAAAATGGAGATCAATGAAAAAAATGATTAGGTTTGATTTGATAAGCTAGAAATTTGAGGAGAAAAATTTAATATCACAATTGTATTGCTAATATAATGTGATCATGATATTAATAATGCCTTTCCTGAGCCTTTCTTTCTCTTTCTCTTGTTTAGTATTTTGTGGTTCTTTGACTTGTTTTTCTAAAATGACAATAGCAAAATGGTCGATCAGTGATATTGCTGACTATGAATGAGATTTTGAATGGGCGGCCAGTATACTAGCTTCTTACTTAACATGGTAATGTTTTCTCCCTTCACATCCTTGCTGATCTTGTAAAAAGGAATAATTTGTTTCATTTTTGAAAGTATCATTATCTTTCTAATATGTGCTGATAAAAATATCAAATATGGTGCATTTTCATAGAAAGGGAGATCCACTATTCTTGCCAACTTTCAGACGGGAAATCTCCCCCAATTTTTTTATGTATCGCCTTCTTATTATACCTACCTTCATATGATCATTAACCATTCATTATCTTTTGAGACCAACAGAAGCTCTTTGGCAACATTAAAGAAAGGTCCTTTTTCATAGAATTCAGAATCCTTTTTTTTTTACAACTTTTATCTTTATGCTTTCTGATAAATACAAAATCATATCAAATTCGTCATAATCTTCTTTTAGATCATAAAGCTAGCACTACCATTACAAAAACGATTGCGAGTTATTAAATGAAAGTTGTCTAATGTTACGGGCGGGACTTTTACAAAAAGTCATGATGTCATACATTTGACAATCCAATGATAATCGTGCGTCTCGTTTTTATAAATATTTGTAAAAAAAAGGTCGACCAATGAGGATTGCAGAAAATGTTGCAACAATGGCTTTCAAAAGTTGTAGCAAGTCCCAAAACAGCTACTGGTACAGCTTCATCTTTATTGGATATAAATCAAGAAGTTGATTTAAGAGCAACCACAGAATTGGTAAAAAAGTGAGTGATTTCTTGAGTTTTTCATTTTTCTTGGGGAAAATAAAATAAAAATATTCATTTGATTAATAGATATGAAGATAATTGGAATTCTATTCGAGCAACAGACGAGATAAACTTTCATAATGCATCTGTAGTTATTTTAAAATTATAGATGTAGTAAATGTTCAATTTTAAAACGATAATCTAGTTTTCTTATTATTATTATCAATATTATTATCATTAGATTGCGGATGATTTGATTCTTCAATTATTATCAATATGTGAAGAACATTTTAAAACTTGTGAATTGATAAAATCCGAAGCAAGTCAATTACGGAAAATAACTGATATTATTGAAAAAGCGACAAACTCTGCAAGTATGAAACAAGACAATTCTTGTGTGTGTGTTTTTTTTTTGAAATGTTTTTTTTTGTTAAAAAAACTTTTTTTTTTATTGAAGTTTCATTGAAAGGGAAATTATCAGAATTAGACAAGATGATTAATGAACATGAAAAGGCTAATGAAGTACAAATTTTTGAAGAATGGAAAAAATCTGAAATAAACTTATTTAATCAATTTATTGATTTAAAAAAGTATGTAATAATAATGATAATAATAATCTTGTTTTTGATTCATTAATATATCAAAATCTTTACTAAATAACAATTAAATATGATAACTTTAAGTGAGGAGTTAAAAAATAAAAAAGACATGTATCAAGAACATTATGAAGAAGTCATTAAAATTTATCATGCTCAAAAAATCCAAAGTTATCAATCTGATTTTGAAGCTCAAATGAATAATTATAGAAAAAAGATTGAAAGTTCTTCACCATCTTATAATGGTATGAATGATACTATGAGTAATAATAAATAATGTTTGACTTAATATAAAGTTTTGTCATCAACTATTATAATAATTTTTTTTTATTGAATAAAAGAAATAATAGAAAAGCCAGAAGATGATATTATTCATAATTTAGAGCAAGTTGAATTGGAAACTGCAGATGATCGAGAAGCATTAGAGAATTTTCTTGAATCCGGAAGTGATGATGATGGTGTATAATGGACTACTTTTATCATTTTTTATTTTTTTTAGGTGATTGGAAATTATATTTTATATATATATGTATTCAACATAACCATTCTACATGACAATTTATTTTAAAAGTTTTAAGGTATAGTTTTCAAGTCCCTAGGGGAAAATTTTTATTCCCAATATTATAAATTTCAAACATATAACAATAACAAATTTTTATTTTTATCTATTTCAGACTTCTTTGAACATCTTTCCCTTTTGCATTTTAACATAATAATAATTATTGATAGTCTACAAACAATCATTAACATTGTGGATTCTTATCTTCTAAGCTTCAATAGTTGATTGTTTTTATCTGACCAATATCATCATCATCTTTAATCAGATTCTTTATTGAATATATTTTCCTTCTGTAATAAGATTCAATTGCCGATATTCTTTAAATTATTCAACAACAAATTTAACTCATAAGAATTATAAACTTTTTCCAAATATATCTATCACTTATTTAAAGTTACAGATTTCTCCATGTCGCCCATTCTATCTTATTAAGAAGGCAGGATCATCATATCATCCTCCTGTAAAACCATTTCCATTCGTCATTTTTATATAATGTATGTTGATGATTTGTGAAATTGAGACGGGTCTGCTAAACTTAGCCTTTCCCTTCGAAAAAGGATCTAATAACCATTTTTTTATTAAAAGAAAATGTCATTTGGAATATTGTCTTTTTTCGATTTTGGGGAAGAAATAAATCATTGCAAAATCGTTGAGACATGATGCACTTTTACATTTTCGTCATGAGAACTCTCTTGGAGCTGCCTTTCCACCAAAGCGAAACTGTTCATACACTAAAAAAGAATTGAATTTTTTGATTAAACAAACTGCCTTGTCCTTGTCATATTTTCTTGATGAAATATAGAAAAATAATAGCAAGTTGAAGAAAAAACAGAAGAAAATAAAAAATCCGTATTATAACCTCAAATCGCGATTTCCTGGTGCCTTGACACTGGGTTTTATGACATTGATGGGAGCCAGGAGGAAAATGAATATTAGTATAGCTTTTTCTTTACAAATATGAGCAATCCCCATAACTTATGTGTTAATGAACGAGGTCCAAAGGAAACTTTTTCAACAAAATACCTTCGTTAAGTGATTCAGGTCCAAACGCCAGATTTGTTCTAAGGCACAACCAATCTTTCTTGAGCGATCGGTGGTGATTGTCTAGGTGTCATCATTTATATAATCAAATCAAAACATATCTTCCGGATAATTTTTACAAAATACAGTAATATAAAAGCATTATACAATTTTTGTATCAGCTCAGAGCTGATGCACAAGAGCACGATATTCTGGCTATTGGGACAAGAATAACAATGTGATTTGGCACAAAATGGCTGGAATCTTTAGGCGTGATCTATCTATTGGCTTTAATATTCGTTGTGTTTACTGATCAGTAGTTTAAGCTGAAATTATAATGTTTTTTGTTTATTTAAACAATAAAACAGTCTGGATGAATAATATATATACATTCCATTACAATAATTTAAAAGCGTAAATATATGCTTTATTTAATGCAATATTAAATACGAAAGAAATTCCTAGCTCGTAAAGTTTCTACTAATCTAGAAAATATCTGACCTAATCCAAACTTTCTAAAGAATACGATACGTTTATATTTGACCTTGTTGCAATTAAAGGTGATAGCACAATTTGAAGTTTCTCTTTATCAATAAACAACTTCTTTCTCGCTTAAAAGGCAATTCATATGTGAAATTAATTCTTTGAAGGACACCTAATTATCAACTATGAATTAAATATTTGCTTCCGAGATTTTTAATGGTGAGTGACAATTAAATATATTTTAAAAAAAAAATAATATTAATGTAGATCATTTGTTCCGATTATTGATAGACGGATCGGTAATTTAAATTTTATTTATTTATTTTTTAAAAAAAAATAACTAAATATCATGTTTAGATTTTCAAGATTTGTTAAAAATAATTCTTTTACTAGTTTATATAAACTTTCTTTTAAACCAGGTAAGTGATATATGGGATATTGAAATTAATTATTTTAAGATCAATATATATAATACAATAATAATAATGAACTTTTCCTAGATGTTTCGGCTCGACATAATTTACCAGCAATAACACATATATCTCGTAACATTTTCAATAGATCTTTAAAACAATATACTACTGCTACTAATGATAACAATAATGATAAGATAAAAGAAAATAAAGCTAGTAGTAGTAGCATTAAACGAAAATCACCACCAAATTATCTTGACAGACAATCCCAATTATTTTTATTCACAGAAATTTGGCGAGGAATGTGGCTTGTTTTAGAAAATTTCTTTAGGCCACCATATACAATTTATTATCCTTATGAAAAAGGACCGTTAAGTCCAAGATTTCGAGGAGAACATGCATTAAGAAGATATCCTACAGGTAAATAAATAATCACTTTACTTTGATATTATATTTTAATGACGAATATTAATTGATTTTATCGTTATTAATTAGGTGAAGAAAGGTAGGAATTTATTGATATAGATATAGATAGATATATGATTATATTATTGGAAAAATATAACAGTAATAATATTATTATTACTACTACTATTAAGATGTATTGCATGTAAACTTTGTGAAGCAATTTGTCCAGCACTAGCCATTACTATCGAAGCAGAAACTAGAGACGATGGTAGTCGTCGTACTACAAGATATGATATTGATATGACAAAATGCATGTAAGTTTACATTTATTTCAAGTTATAGTTATTTATTTATTTATTTATTTTGATTGATCGATTGATTCAATTAATTCATTATTTTATTTTAAAAAAATTTGTTAAAAAGTTATTGTGGATTCTGTCAGGTATAAAAAAATCATATTTTCTTTTTATTATTGTTTTAATTACCTTAAATAACAATAATTATTATAATATTAATAATAACAATAAATAGGAAGCGTGTCCAGTTGATGCTATTGTAGAAGGACCAAACTTTGAATTTTCAACAGAAACACATGAAGAATTGTTATATAATAAAGAAAAACTTTTGGCAAATGGCGATAGATGGGAACCTGAAATAGCAAAAAATTTAGAAGCAAATCAATATTATGTATAATAATAAACAAATAATAAATTATGTAACTATATTTATGATTCTGGTTTATTAGCTTCATAATGAATAAATGTGTATGATTCATCATTTTCTATCAATGTCTTATTAATGTTGCTATTGTTATTATTATCAATAAATGGATGATGACTATTTTCTTTTAAATTTGATCCAATTATAACCAATATCTCATTTAAAACTTCCATCTTAAATCTATCTTCACAATCCTCAATTATCTTTTTTTTGGGAGGAAAGAAAAAAAAATTTAAAATACTTGTATACAAAGTATAAATAACATATAAATAATATACGTATGATTTTACCAATTCCAATTCAGCAATACTTTGAGGCATTAAATTAATTATTTGTAATTTTTCAGGTTTTGTCAAGTTATATTTTTTAAGATTATTTAACATTAATTCTATTTTTTCAGGAGATTGACATTTTGCTGGTGTTTGTGATGTCAAATATTGGGTAACCTATGATTATTATATTGAAAAGTGATAAATATATATATATATATATATATAGACAATATGATGCAATGTAAATAATCTAATTTTCAATTTTTATTATTATTTACTTCAAACTGTATTGTTTTTAAATTTTCAGCGAATTTAATGTTTGGCTCAGATTTTGCTTGTAGAGTTTGTTTCTCGTCCATTTCATTAAGAAGTGCTAAAACTTCATAGTTTGAAAGCATTGCATTTTGTTTCTGTAAGATCTTTCAACACATGTTAAAAAATTTTATGATGATTATAATTATTGACATCATTATGATTAATATTATTGTCAAGTTTATATAATTAATTATATACGAATTACTTACATGCATTTCTAAAAGATTTTTTTTTTTTGCAATTAATTTTATGTTGATCGTGCCATTCTTGGAATGGGTTGGTTGATCATACAATTTCAACCAAAACCGCCACCTTGAATGGAGATGGCCTAATGACCAATGGCATTACCATAGCTCAATTTCACTACAATGGTTTATTTATTTATATAGTTAGTATACATATAATATAATGGATAATATCATTTTCTATGAAATTAGTTCAACTTTTAAACATAAATACATCAAAAGCAGAGATGATAGCATTAATAGTAAAAGCATGAAACAGTAATGGCCATAAATAAATATATAAATTTTTTTTCCTTTAGATTGATTTCTGTGATCTACATTTACGCATACCATAAAATTTTGGTTCTAATTTTACAACTAATAAAATCAAAACTTCCATTATGTTCTGGATTTGTATTTTGATAATGGATATGATGATGATTTAGACAAACACGTTGTTGAATGGATAACGCAAGTGATGATCATTCTTTATGTGGTATGGTTGAAGATTTTCAAAAATTTTTTTTTGAAATTTGTATCACCTTATCGACCAAATAAAAGGATTCTTAACCATGCATACATTTTGTGTATTCACTTTTTCTATCATGGATCACGAATTAAAATATTTATATTCTTTGCATGTTAAATTGAAAGAAGAAAAAGAAGAAGCTCAAA